ATCCGTAATGCTTTTCTATACTAGATCGAGTTGCAGGTCGCTATAGAGTAAGTCATTATCGGTTGTCGCGGCAGCTCGGATGGTCTTCCATGGTCTTCCAAGGTCACTGGTCCAAGATGCCAAGATCGCAGGTTGGGAAGCAACTATTGGAGGGTAGATCGTTCATCCTCTCCTGCACCGAAGCCATTAGTGTGCCCCCAAAAAAGCGGCTTTCAAGATGTTGAAAGCCTTCAAGATGTTGAAAGGTCCACAACATGCTAAAGTCTCCTGCACCTCCTCTTCTGAAAGGCTGCCTCAGCAACGCTTTCAGCGAAAACTGGCCTTTCTGAAGGCAAAGCAAAGGGATGCCACACATTCAAGCATTACAGAGGACCTATATATATAATCCAAAGCCCTATTTACACACTTGCTGGCGCAGAACGGGTCTGAATCAGTTGGACATGTGAGTCAAAGATCTCTCAGTCCGATGGGATCGAGACAAATCCGAGCGATGGGATGTCTGCTGTCGAGGCTGTCAATTTTCTACGTCATGATGACACTCCACTGCTGCGTGAACCCATCAAAATAGACTCCGCGCTTGATCTTAAAGAGCGACAAGTCTACCCTCATCTCACAGGTTAAAGACCGTTACCATTGCATTCTGCCAACTTGCAGGCTCCCCCAATGCTTGTAGGGCCATTCGTTTTTTCATTTGGGCTCAGACTGCACAGCTGCACAATTGTGGCGATGGTTTCCCGTGGGAGAAAACCTCAGAGCTCAATCAAACTGAGTTGGTAGCCCCAAATCATGCAACGCTGGAAGTCTCCATGAAGAACTGTAAAAACATGTCCATGACATCATTAGGGCTCATCAGCAACCCTGAGGTGCAACTTCTCCCTCATTGAAGCTGAATAACATGAATCCTTGTTTGGGGTGCTTTTGTGGTTGATTCACACTAAAACAACGGGTGCAAACAGTCTGCTTCAAAAGGCTTAGACACCGGTCTTTTGTGGATCAAAAACTTGTAAAAATCGAAGTCCATCCTGTACCTGCACGCAGCTCATCTTGACAGATCTGCTGATGTGGTGCTTGAGATTGCTGCAGAGTTCCTATCAAAAAACATACATATGAAAACCTGTATACATTCATAAACAAACATGTTGACCTATGTAGCTTGCACTATGGAAGAATGGTCGACCCTCGCAAACAGGTGCTAGGTGACACCTTATTGACCGGCAAAATCGAAACAAACATGAACACTGAAATCTGTAGCTTTCAATCCAGTTTGATATTGAAGTGTTTGCCATCATGTTCTTTAGCGAAACAACTTTGTTCCTCTGCATGTGCTAGAACAAGTTTTTCAATGTTCCCAGAAAAAAAATAACATCTATCTGAATCAGTCCGCACTAACTATCTGGTGGCAACACGACAAGACTGGAAAACTCCTAGAATACAATCAGGGTCATGAGCGAACTTCAATAAAAAGTTCAACACGCTGGGAGTCAAACCACGGGAAATGTGGCACAGAGCTGCGACATCCATGACATCGTAGGAAGCTGCACGTTTTGCGAGACTACTACACTTGAGGTTCGAAGGCCAAAAGACTAGTGCAACATAGTACACCAGCCAAATCCAGCCAGCTATGTTGGTCCGTTGGGGAGCAAAACACACCAAGTACATTCCAAGGGCTCGCAATAGTGGACCTAAATCCCTTCAAGTCAAACTTTCAGAATCCGAAACCAACCGGGTTTCGCACCAACGTCTTCGACAAATACTGCTGCCTTGCCCCGGGACCATGATGGCCCATGTGTGTGTGTGCCCCTTGCAGTCACAGGGTTTCTTTTGAATCGTACTTTTCAGCAGGGTGCCAGGGATGCACACTGG